CCGCGCGAGATTTCGCTTCGAGAAGTACGCCCCGGTTGGCACAGACTTTCTACCAAGGTATAATTTAATTTCATTCCTAAGTTTTATTCGCTTCATGCAGACCAAATTTGAGTGTTCAGCGTGCTTTTTTTTACGGAAATAATTATTCGCGTAACGGGATACGCGCGAGACAAAACGCGACAATGTAGCATTGTATGACGCGTGTGTCAATAATGTACCAGTTTCCTGGTTGTTCCTGAGTCATATTTTCCTCTCGGTGTCTAGGAGGATCAAAACGTACAAAAGAAAGACAACAGGGGCTTCATGCCGCATAAGTAACACTACGAATGCTCTTGAAAGTGAAGCAACAGCGTCACTCCCTTCGCGTTGCCGCCACACTTTTTGGCGTACCAAGGGATGTGCTTCAAAAGCGAGCAAAAAGACAAAAAATATAAAAAACAATGGCTCCACAAAAAAAAAAAAAAAATGGCGAGGCGTTTGGGGGGGGCGATCGCCCCCACCGCCCCCCCCTTGGATCCGCCACTGGGCCGTACTCCTACTCCTCACTAAGCCTATGCGGAGAGCAAGTCGTCTGCTTCCTGCGCAGGAGTTGCGGTGACGTCAGAATAATGCCGACCTCTGATTGGCTTTGATTGAAAGGATAGCGAGTAGACCTCAATACTAGGTTCCTTAAAGTCTAGCCAGTATTTCTTTTTTTTTTTTTCAATCAGCCAATAAGAGCTCGGTGTTTGGACGTCATCGCAACCCATGTGCAAGAAGCAGACGGACTTATGCTCCGCATAGGCAGGTCCGTATACGACCGCTGGACAGGGGCTCCGGAAGCGGGGGGGCAGGGTGGGCTTGAGCCCCTCCTGTCCTCAGGACCGAGCTGCCGAGCCCCCCCCCCCCCCTCCCCCTCCCTCTTTTTTTTTTTTTTTTTAGTTTGTGTGTTTGCAGGTTATCTGGTATGGGCCTTCGGCCTATCTGCTGTGCCTCCGTCTCTTCTGAGCCGAAATAAATGAAATGACTCTTTATGCATGCTGACCTACCGCCCTCCTCACCTCCGCCAAGCACAAAAAGCACCGGGGCGACGGAGAGGCTTGCTTGAAAAGTCAAAACCAGAAGAAACTGACAGGCAGGACTCATGAGCCTGATTGACAACCAGTTTAGAGCGAGCAAAGAGGAGACAGCGAAATGAATGGATTCCGACAAGACGACGTCGGCGAGCGTTTGTCTGCTTCCCCCGTGTGGAAGCAAGAAGCCCAGAAGATGCATGGTGCTTCTGGCCCGCGGACAAAACAGGCAGGCGGTACTACCGCGGCGCTTAAAGGCCATCATTAGGACAGGGGGGGGGGGGGGGGGTGGGGGCGGGGCTGGTGAGCTTGAGTGGGGATTCGGGAGTGCTTAGAAAAGGCGAAAGTCTACGAGCTCCAAAATTTGACAAGGCGCCTTCGATGGCGAAAGCTTTGCGCGCATGCGGCGTCGTGCCCGCAGGGTGGTGAGGCATGAGGCGACACATGTTTACAAACTCGGGACAACACAACACGAAGTCTGAAACACAGCTCTTATCCTTCAGTACCCTCCTTTTGTGATGCCCCCCAACTTGTATTGACGCCAGGAGTCCGAAGCGATCACGGTCGATGTACTTGATCCTGAGGTACATACCGATGTATGCAACCTCTGCTTCCAGTTAAGACATCCGATGGCCCAACTTGCTGTGTTTGAGACTCCGTGTTGTGTTGTCCTTTTTTCCCCCCGAGTCTCGGGGTTTTGTCTAAACTTTTAACACTTGTTTGTCTACGTTTGCGTTAATACATCATGCTTCCCCGAGAATCCCTAAATGAAGGAAGGTTTTCATTTTTAGACATAACCAATTTGGCATAGGCACAGCTGCGGTTGACATGTAACAGTTGGTATAGGAAAGAAAAAATAAAGAACACATGGTGCGGCTGATTTCAGTGGTTATCCAATCATTGTATGAGTTGTCAGTGCAAGCTTCTTACTGTTATTTTACTGAACCATTGTTTTAATTTGTTTTCCATGGATATGTGCGCGAATATGCGAACGCGGTGCATTAATATGTTTTCATTCAAATGTGGCAATTAATGTCAACCTGAAACCAACCTAACCTTGAGGATTTCGGAGATGTCGAGCCCCCCCTCTAAAGAAAGACTTCCGGAGCCTCTGCCGCTGGAGGTCCGTGTTTCAACGGGGGCTCTCACGAAGATGAATGGGTGCATTGCGAGCGAGGACTGAATTAATTTTCACGCAGTGCTGGGATGCACTACGTCAACGGGGCAATCGGAACCGAACCCGCGCCAGTCCTCTCCATGGCCAAAAAGGTCCCATAATGCCACGCGCGCAGTGTTGCATGCGGGGATTTTCGGAAGTATAGTCTATTCTAGAGTCGTCTATTCCCTAGCGCCTGACAAAGCGGGGAGCTCGCGATTGGTGGACTGTGATTTTCGCTCGCTCACTCTAAAAAAAGCACGTGTGTCTGCTTTCCCGCACAACACTCGGAGAGCCAATCACCGCAGCTTACGGAGGCAACTCAGCGAATGACGATGCCGAAACATATGTTTAGATTAAAAAACGCAGTCTGGGTTGTTACATTAAGTAATACAAAACGTCACGCTTGCATTGCTGAATGTCAGAACTCGGACTGCCTTTTTTGGTCTAAACATATGTTTCGGCATCGTCATTCGCTGATGTGCCACCGTGAGTTGCGGTGATTGGCTCTCCGAGTGCTGTGCGGGAAAGTAGACGCACGGGCTTATTTTTAGTGCTGGGGCCCCGCCGCCAGATTCTGGATCCCACTTCGTTGAAAACGGTCTGCCAAATGGACCTTGTATTTTTTTTTTTTTTTTTGTGTAAACGGGAGTTGTTAGAGCTAGGGTGCCTGGAACGGGTCTCCGTCTGGTGTGTTTAGCGTCCTACAGATGTCTTGCACGTGACGTCATATGGCACCGTACCAACCGCCACTCTTCCGCACCATTCCTGTGCCCAATTCCTCCAGCATACATTTGGCACCATCGAATTTGTACTTCTCGGCAAGGCTTGCCGAAAAGAGCGAATTCGATGGTGCCAAATGTACGCTGCAGGAAGTACGGGCACCGGAGCATGGTCCGGAGCAGTGGTGGCTGATGCGACGTTAATCCATGCATTCCGCCCATGCATCGAAAGCGGTTCCAATGTGGCAACAAATGACGTCAGAAAAGCCGGAGTGTCACGCTGTCGCATGTCGCGATCCTGGCGGCTGGTCGTAGAAATGCCGGCGAAAAGCACGAGCGAACGCGAGTGTCGCTGTCGTCGCGGCGTCCCAACTCCTGGCTGTCGAAGCTTTCGTGGCCTGTCAAGCTGGAGAGCTGCCTGCAGCAGGACAGACGTCTGCCACATCCACCACCGCTGCGGTGACGCCGCCAGGATCGCGACCGGCGGCAGCGTGACACTTGTATGACGTCATCAGGCAGAAATCGAGGGACCCCTTTTCTTGGACGCGGTGAACACACCAGTCGGAGACGCGTTCCAGGCACCTTATTGGCGTCACCGGTGACGCTGGTAGCTGTTCAGTCAATCAATTGAATTCTTCTAATCAATTTGAAGAAAGGGATCTCGCGTGTCTTTTTAATAGAGATCGTTACACACCCACTTATAGGATTGCTGCGCGCCATTTGCGCCATACTGCGTCGAAGTGCTTACACCCTGCTACATCCTTCTCGGTTGCACTAAAATGCGAGGAATTCGCGCCGACATTGCGCCTAAAGTGGCTTCCATTTTCTCAATACTTAAACATAGCGAGTCGATATGTTTCACATCAGATACCAACTGTACACTGCGGGACACCGTAAGCGTGAACGGTGTCGCGCAGTGTAACGCTTCGTTTTGACCCAAAGGACCACTTCCCACCTAGCACACTCATAATATCAACAATAATAATAGAAAAAAAAAGCTGGAAACAACAGCAACATTGGCTACGACAGGCGTTTGTTTGTGTGAACAGGGTCGCTCCTTCGAAGTTTCTCAATATTTATCCTCATTCGTACCGTGTTTGGGTGGGTTTAGTTAGCTCCGTTGAGCGCGCTTCTTACTGTGCAGCTGTGCACTGCGGAGAAAAGACATTTGCGGCGGACGTCGCGATCCTGCCTATCTTGCTTCTCCGCAGCGCACCCGCGTGCTAAACAAACAAACAAAAAAAAAAGTTATTTTGAGCGATATAGTGGACGAACGCGCACGTAACAAATATATATGGGTGATTTCATCTCAAATCGGGCAGGCTAAAAGGGTCTAATTTTTAATTTTCACGAAAAAAATATATGTTTTGGGGTTATTTCTCAAATGAAGGAGGGCGCAAACCGCATGTTCTCCCGATTTTTTGTTCTCGAGTTACGAGCCGTAGAAGCCGCAGTGGCAGAAACTAGTGTTTTTGCCTGCCGTCACAGGTCGCGTGTTTGACACCCTCTGCTGACGCTATTGTTTTACGAGCCGTAGAAGCCACTGCGGCTTCTACGGCTCGTAACTGGAGAACAAAAAATCGGGAGAACATGCGGTTTGCGCCCTCCTGCATTTGAGAAATATCCCCAAAACATATATTTTTTTCGTGAAAATTAAAAATTAGACCCTTTTAGCTTGCCCGATTTGAGATGAAATCACCCATATATATATATATATATATATATATGGGTGATTTCATATATATATATATATATATAACAACGAACATTTGGTGAATGTTGTTTTGACAGCTCCCTCTTTCAGTAAAATTATCGAAATAAAACAGCGGCCTTGTTTGTATACATTCCAGATAAATGTATTATTTATCAAAACGCGCAGATGTGAAGAATCGGTCACTTCAAATCGCGGGCAGCCCAGCGAATGACGAACTGCCAATAACGTAACGTTTCAAACGAATACAGAAAGAAAAACAACAACAAAAAAAAAAAAGGGGGGGGGAGGGGGTTTATGACAGTGACTTCCGGTCACGTTCTCAAAATCTAACGCAGCCTTTTTTTATTATTATATATATATTTTTTTTTTCCCGATCACATTCCTGCGTGAAACGCAAATTCTTCAGGAACGAAGAAAGTGGACAAAATCCACACAAACCGCGTCTCCACGCGCGCCGAGGTTCGAAAGCCTCGCGTATGTTGTCTTTTTTTTTCTTTTTCTCTTTCCTGAATGTGTTTGCAGCAAAGCGGCCAACTTTTCGCGCGGTTCGTCAACTCTTTCCTCGCTCATAAAAGGAATCGTCCGCTTCCGGAGGCAGCGTCACGACGGCGCTTCCGAGGACATGCCGCTCCCCTCGGCCGGTGTCGTCGGGCGCACAGCGTTGGTCGGGCGTCAAGACGGGCGTACCGTCGTCGCCGGTGGGCGCGGCGGCGCGGGTCGGGCGGGCGAGCGGGAGGACGTACGCTGTCGTCAAGCGGGACGTGCGGCGCGTTTTGCACGGCGACCGGGGAACGTGGCGGCTGCGCTCGCCGCCAGGTGACTGTGAAGCTGGTTGAAGAAGAGGTCCGGGCTGCTGGCTGCTCCGGGGGCAGTGACCAGCAGCCGAGCCGTTCGCTCCCTCGCGACCAGCTCGCGCCGGGATTCGCGCGCACGTGTGCCCGAGCTGCCAGGGCCGTCGGCGGACGCTTGACGCGCTCGTTGGGAACACGACCCGCCTTCTCATCTTCGTCCGAGGGGTGAGTCGACGGCGCCGTCTTGGAGGGTTTCGGAGACTCCGTTCTCGCTCCGCGATTCTTCTCTGCCAAGGCCCGCTCACGCAGCCCTGTTTTCTTATGTTTTCATAATAGACTATTTTACTGTTTACGAACATGAACCTCTGCTTGCGTCCCAAGTGACTTCCCGCCGCTCCGTCTTTGCAAGCCCGTCGAGCTTGCTTGTACCACCAGTGCTAGAAAGCCTAAATGCTACACGAACGACAAAGTTGGAGATTTAGCGAGGTCATTCGGTTGTGCGATTTACCGTCTCTCAGGAGCCAATTTGGTTTACGAGAACATTCGAAAGATTTGAACAGATCTCGCTCTTCTTGGTTCTTTTGGCGTTCGCCTGGAGAATTAATGGTGAGATGTTTCATCAACGTTTTAAGCAGCGGTGTTAAGGTGGGCTTTGTTAATTATTTTGATGAACCGGAAGTTCGCTTTTTCGCTAAAAATTCGGGGGTTGTCGGAGTTTATTCTTCTTCTTAGTTCTTCGAAATTCGGAGTTTAATTTTACGGTGTTCCAAAATTTTAAAACTTCAAAAATAAAATAAATAAAGGCCTGGGACCATTACCCGTTGTCCTCAAAAAAGCTTGACAGTTCGAGATTTGAAAGGAAACTGAAATGGCCTCTCCTCAGGACCACTGGCCCTGCCCTCTTATAGAGTTTATTTGTAAAACACTGTCGTTATGACCGCGTCGAAATTCTGAGTTTTTTTTTCGAATAAATCCGAATTGACAGAACATTGACCGGCAAGTATTCTTCTGACCTTCGGATTTCCCCGAAAACATATCATAGTGTGGGCTGCACAGCTTGGATACCCTGACTTGACCTAAACGTAAGCTGCCCGACTGCTCGCCCCGCCGCCGCGATCTTCCAATGTTTCGAGTTTTCCCCTCCGGAGGTTTGCCCTTTAGTGCTTTCCGACGCTCTGTAAGTTTCTAATTCATACGAGGCCTTCATCGTTACTGAGTACAAAAAAAGGTTAAGTATTCCAGACTTATACGTTTAACTGTCCCCAAAGCTACGGACCTCGCTGAATAGGTCCCGTGGCTCTGACCAGTATGGTATCTATCCTTTTCTGCGCGATGGATTGTTTTCGCAGGAACATTTTTGCCTGTGTTCAGTGAAACACCCTGTATAGTTCAGTAGCGAGTTTTAGCAGACCGTGTTTCTTCCTCCGCTAAGTCCCTCCGCTACCCGGAACTCTACAGCCAAGGCCATCGGCACGCAGGCGCAGTGGCGGTTTCTTCGTTGCGGAGGGTTAGCGGAGGGGGAAACACGGTCCACTAAAACTGCTTAATGTCTTTCCAATAATGCTTTTTTTTTTTTTCTTTTAAGGGGGAAAGTTTTGACAAACGCGGCTTTATAGTTTCTGGAAAAGCTACTAATGTTTGCAGTTGGCCCGAGTTGTTTTGTTTTTAGAGTTCCAAAATCACGAGAGACGCGTTGACATGGCCACGCCGAGAGCCGACTGTGGCTCGTGAACCTCCGTTTTGGCCACTGGTGTTTTCTTGTGTGCTTTCGTTGACACCGAGTGCTCAGTAGGAGACTAGGGGGCGACGTTTCTGGGCTCCGAGATAGTTTTATCAAGAGCAAACCAAAACTCGTACAAAAAAAAAAAATGAATGGAGCTCCGAACGCCGATTTCCTTGTGTGCTGTGCTGTGTGTGCGTCTGCGTGTGTGTGTGTTTGTGTGTGTGTGTGGTAGTTTGGGGGGGGGGGGGGACTTATCGGGAGGAGCTGAGTATAGCCGGAGAACACGGAAACAAACTCTGGAATATTTACGAAATTCTCAAATGCAAGGGTCACAAGCAAAGCCTCCAAAACAACGTATGGGGCGTTACTTGGAACGGAGTCACGCTGAAAAAATAATACTAATAAAAATGATCGACGTCCTCGAAAAGCAAAAACCTTCCTGCGAGATGCGGCGAGCTTTCCCCGAACCCCCGCAAAATGCCGCCGCTGCCGCACGCTATACAGACATCAACACAAGCACGTGTTGCGTCCCCTCCTGCATAACTCCCGCGTTGGCACACTACCGCAGGAAGACGCTGTTTTGTGTCTCGCGCGCGAAGGAGGGGAAAGCTTTTTGGCAGGCGTGTTTGGCCTCAAGCGGCGCGCTACTTTTAGTCTGACGCGGCGCAGCCAACTCGTCTCTGCTGCGCCGGGAGCGACGAACTCGCGAGCACGCGGCGTGCCTCCTCCTCCTTCACCGCGAGCAAACATCGGGCGCCGCGGACGCAGACCTCACTATTAGCGGTTTCCCGAAGCGCATACAGTGCTCGCGGAGGCGCCGGCTGTGCCCCTCCGCACGACGCCGATAACGGACCGGTCTACCTTCGCATACCGATGCGCGATCCGTATCGGAAGCGTCCATTTGTCGTTTCGCCGTGGCATCGGTGCGGTAGCGCTACGCGGCGTGGAACGGACAGATGAGGTAAACATAAGCGATTGACTCGGATTAGCTCCTGCACGAGGGAGGTGTCGTGCGGAGCTCTCTTCCTGTTCGCCTATCTATCTGGAACCTCGAGTCTCTTTAAAACCGTGCACTGTACCCCTTGCGTGCGTTCTAGTCAGTGGTGGAGGTATCTCCGCGGCGCGCTGTACGGTTCCCGGTCACGTCCCAACCCCCCCTGCTGCGAGGATCGGGGGAAAAAAAAAGGGGGGGGGGGGGTGGAAGACGAAGGAGTTGTGCGCTTACTCGAAAAGAACGCCGTCTGCAACACACACGCACCTAGCGGTAAAGTCCGTCCCACTCCGTTACGTCCTCCGGAACGAAGAGTGCTCATACCGCGCTTGCGCGGCACCTTGCCTGCAGCGGGACAGCGGAAACGATATACGAAAACTCCCTGATGTGACAGGATCCCATAGGCATATCCACGGAAAGGGGAGGAGCCTCAGATAGAGCTCCGTGGAGCCAGGCCCTCCCCCCCGCCGAAACCCCCGGCCGTTGAACGCATCCGTGGTTGCCTTGCCGATATATTATAGTTCGCTCCCTGGAGGAGCTGACGCGTCCAATGATCCCGAAGGCTGTGGCGGTGGCAAGTCACCCAAGAAGGGCGAGGGAAAGAGCCGTCCACAGGGGCATACTCAGGGCATACGGCCCAAGTATGCCCCCAAAGCACTCCCCGACACGGCGGTACCTAATGCCCGATGGCACCCACAGCCTGCCTGAACTAGACCTAGATAGGGATCCGGGGAACACGTGGTTCTCACGATGTTTAGATCGAGAGACGCTTTTTTGACCTCCGTCATTCGC